TCTGAGTGTGATTTGAGTCCTGGACCTGGAGGTGTGCTGCCTCTTTCTCTTTCTCTGGTCCAATTGTATAATAATAATAATAAATGAAATTAAATGAATTTTATTTTTTTAAATGTGGCCTGAGCAGGGGTGTATGATCTGAGGTTGGACTGCTAGGCAGGTCCAGATTGTTTTGAACCTTGTGGCTCAAGTGAAGAGATTGGATTTTATTTGAAGAACGATGAATCATCTGGGAAGGAATTTAAGCAGAAGGGAGACTTACCTAATTTCTGTTGTTTTTCATTGCTGTTACTATGAGTGAAGCTGCCAATTTCAGGTATTTAACAGTCAATTGTACATCTTCTGTTTTTAGCTCTCTCTGCATATCTTGTGCTTATTTTCAACTGCATAGTTATTTTCCTATTTATTTATTATTTTTTGGTCAGACTTTTTTTTTTTTTTTTTTTTTTTTTGCTAGACAGCATATGCACTCAACAGAGAGGGAGAGAAGGAAAGGAGAAAATATCCCCTGTGGGAGTTACAGGCTCTCCTCCTCCATGTCTCACTCCCTGGGGCTTTTGCACACACAAGCACATGTTCCTGGTGTGTTTCTCAGGCTGTTGCTGGGTCCGAGACTTGAACTACACAACTGGCCATGTGCTATCCAGCTGCCTTAACCACCAGGCCTAGGAACTGGCCCTATGAAAACTCCTTACCCCTCCCTCCCTAGTTTACTATAGAGCACAAATGCTTACTGGAGAGACACAGAAAGAGAGAGAGAGAGAGGAGAGAGAGAGAAGGAAAATGAGAAATATCCCTGGAGGAGATGGCCACACCATAATCCCTTCCCCTCCATTTTTTTCATGGGATTTTGGACATGTACACACAGACACAAACACATACACAAACACACACACACACACAGGCCCAGTGCTATTTTCAAGCCACTGGTCCAGGACTCAAACTGCTCACCTGGCCATGTGAGACCCAGCTGTCTTAACCTCCATGCCACTTGATGGCACCTGAAAGCTCTTTTTATATTAGGAAAGTAACTGTTTGCCTCTAATAAGATACACAAAGTTTTGTTGTTTGGCTGTTGTCTGTTTATGGCTTTTATGGTGCCATGAAAAGCTCTTATGCCCTTAAATGATAACTGTTTTCTCTGACATTTAACACGCCAATGGTATTAAAGTGTGTGTGTGTGTGTGTGTGTGTGTGTGTGTGTTTCCTAGAGCTGATTTATGTCTTTACAAGATCATTCTGGTTGTCTGTGGAGAATGGACTATAGAAGGATAGGCCAGAATGGGGGAACAAAAAGAACTCAGGACTTGGATTTAGGAGACTAGAGCCAGTTTCAGTGTCAGCCCTTACCAGCCTGTGATCCTGGCCACTGCTTCAGTGCCCTTGGTCAATTTCTTTACCTATACCATGGAAGAATAATCATAACAAACAATTACAATGCTCTTAGTACATACTAGAGCCTGTTCCAAATACCTACAGGTATTATCTTATTTAAACTTAAAAAAAATTTACTTATTGGGACCAGCAGTTAGCATATTGGCTGTGTCGCTAGACTCCCATGTAGTTGACCACAGTTCAAGTCCTGGACCCAGTGTCTTAAACTCATGCCGGGCGCGTGTGCGTCCATGCCCAAGATCCCAAGAGGAGAATGGAGGAGAAGGGATTGCAGCGTGGCCATTCCCCCCTGGGGGGTGATTTTTTACTTTCTGTCTCTTGGTCTCTCTCTGTCTCTCTGGTGAGCACACACACCCTATAACGAAAACCTCTCAAAATTATTTATTTATTATTATCACTATTATTATTATTCAATTTGACTAGAGAGAGACAGAGGGAGAGAAAGTAAATTACCAGGTCCAGGACTCGAACCAGTCAGCCATATGGAAGTCCAGTGCCTTAACAACCATTCCACCTGCTGGCCTCTCATGTAATCTTTGTAATAGTCTAAAAGTAAGGAAATTGGGCCACATAGAATGTTAGCACCTCACCTAACTGTACTAGTCCGTTATTGTGTTGCTAACCAGAAAGACCTAGAATTGGGTGATTTATAAAGAATAGAGGTTTATTTAGCTCATGATTCTGGTGGCTGGAAATTTCAAAGGTCTGGGGCCAGCATAAGGCTGGCCTCTGGGGCTACATCACAATGTGGTTGACAGAAGCAGAAAAGAAAGCAGGCATATGCAAAGAGTCAGGAGACAGAATGCCTACCTCCTCTGCCACCTGGTAGTAGGATCCTTCCCATGAGGCCATAGGTGCAGGCTAGGAGAGAGAAGGCAGTGCAGCAGGACAAGGAACCTCAGGCATTTGGGCCACTTGTTCATGTGGCTTATTTGTGCCTTCAGGACTTGCATGGATCCAGTCACAGATATACCCACAGGTATACCACTTCCATTTGATGATGGAGTGCTGCTGTGCACATCCCACTTCGTGGCTTGGTGGGTCGAATAATACCCAGCTCATGACAGACAGTTCAGATCACACGGTAACTTGGTGGCCCTTGGTCAGATGTTTAGTTTCTACCAAGGCCCAATAATATGCCAGGAGCTATCTCTCAAAAGGTGGGCAGTTATCTGTGGGTGAAGGCATGGCCTTGTTTTAAAATCCCAAAGGCGGGGCCAATGGGTGGTGTGGTGGTTAAGGTACTGGACTCCCACATGGCTGGCTTGAAAATCACACCAGACACGTATGGATGCATGCCCAAAATCCTGGGGGG